GGCCAGAGATTGTCATCTAGCTGTCCCCATCCCAGCCTATGAAGCTTCTCCAAGCTACAGGACGATGACAATGTGTGCAGGGGGGACATGGACAAAGAAAATCTTGATATAGCACCTTCTTATGGAACCACCCATATCAAGTCAGACCCCTCCAGTGCTCAAATTTCTTTCCTCATGGTAGGGTGGGGTCCCTGGCTTACGGCACAGGTGGCCTGGCTAAACTGGGCTTCAAGTCCTTTGATTCCCTGGATAGGGGTAGGAGTGGTTTCTAGTAGGTTCCAGGAAGGGCTTGGAACTGTTGCAGACTAGCCTGGCTTGTGGACGCCCCAGATGGCCGGCCATTCACAGCTGGAAGTGACCCAGCTAGGCCCTGGACAGTCCAGACCTACCGCCACCTCCCCAAGACCTGTCTGTCCTGGGGTCCTGGCTGAGAAGAGTGACAGCCTTTCCCTGAAAGGAGTTCTGAGAAGGCTCAGATTCCCCTAATCTAACCCTTTGCATCTCACAGCTCAGTCCCACTTGGGGACAGAAAGGCTTATTTGACGGAGGGGAGAAGAGATGAGCTAGAGTGATGAAAATGGTAGGGCTGAAATAAGACCCCAGGGCTTCTAGCTCACCGACCTCAGTCCTGTGTCAGACTTGATAACATTCCTGGCACTTTGGGCTAAGTGAGTTCAGGCTTCAGTTGCTCGGCAACAAGCAGATGTAGACAAGTCTCCCAGCCTAAAGGACTCCACTTTGACAAATGTTCACCTCACAGGGGATCTTGCTTCCCAGCACAGGGAGGAGGAGGGGTGGGACATGAGGCCTGGCTGAGGAGCTGGTTACTCTGACCCTGACTTGGCCTCTGACCTTCTGCTTTACCTTCCAGTCCTTTCTCTCTTGTCTGTTTTGCGGCCTTTGTCCAGTCCTAGTGATTCCCTGACTCCTAACCCCTGGTCAGGCTCCTTGGAGGTCGTCATTCCTTTCTTTTTCTTCCTGTTCTGTTTGTGGTCGGCATCTTATTCAACCTTGCAATCCCAGAGCTGACAGCAGCCTCAGAGCTCATTCAGTCCAAACTCCTATAAACAGATGGAGACACTGAGGCCCAGCGTCACTTGTCAAAGGCCACATCAGAATTGGTGACTGGATCAGAACTAGATTTCTAACTCCCAAATTCCTATTTTCCTCCTACCCTTTAATCAATTAGCTGTGGCTACACCTGTCTGTCTGTCCATGGACTGACGGAGTCCACTTGGGGCTTCGCTCAGACCATTGCTGTCGGAGCCATGCTGAAGCTGTTTTGTGACTTAGCACTGACACCAGACTGGGTGAGTCTGTCTCCAGGCTCTATGAACTGAGAGATAGGGGTCAGATTGGGGACCAGGCTCAGATAGAGATAGCAGTCCAGATCTGTGGCCCATGTCAAGCTTGGGGACAGTCATTACTCAATATTCTTCCTTTATCACTCTCTGCCCAGATGGATCCTGTCCAGGATGATATTTAGAGAAAAGAGAGCTCCTCTGATGGTGCAGTGGTTAAATGCTTGACTGTTAATTGACAGGTTGATGGTTTAAACTCATCCAGCAGCTCTGCAGGACAAAGAGCTGGTGATTTAAGCATTGTTGTTGTTATGTGCCATTGAGTAGACTACAACTCATAGCAACCCTATGCACAATAGCTCTATTGTGCTCTATCTTGAGCCACTGTCTCCAACACACCTATCCTTACTACCCCAGTCTCTGTGTCTGTCCATCTCATTGGGGTCTCACTCTCCTGAGCTATCCCTCAAGCTTTCAAAGCATGATATCCTTCTCTAAAGATTAGTCTCTCCTGGCTACACGGCCAAAATACGTAAGACAGAGCTTCAAAATCCTTGCCTCCAAGAAGCAACTCAGTTTTACCCTCTCCATGACAGACCTGTTAGATCTCTTGGTAGTCCATGGTATGTTTAATACTCTTCTCCGGCACCACAACTCAAAGGCATCGATTCATTCATAAGTCATTCATTCATTCATTCAATAAGTCATCCTTATTCATTGTCCAACTCTCTGATAGATAGCAAGTAATTATGAAGACCATGGCTTGCATCAGGCACACCTTAGTTTAAAGATTGTGTAATTGTTGTGTAATCTAAAGACTACAGCCTAGGAAACCCTGGAGGACAGTTCTCCTCTGTCACATGAAATCATAGTGAAGTGAGACTGACTCCAGAGCACCTCACAACAAGCCCTTGAATATATTTACACACACACACACTCATGTTCAGAAACAATCATGTTCAGAAATGCACAGACACGCCCCCATGCACACAGAGCTCTCTCTGGCTTACCATCTGAATTGTGGGATTAATTGTGTGAAGTCCTTTACCCTAAGGGCAAAAACACATCCCTTCCTTGTGGTCTCCCAGTGGCTGGCCTAGAGCCTGCCCTAAATAGGAACTCAGTGAGTGTGTGGGGAAAGAATGAGCTAATCTTGGTGTGGAGGGTCACAGTGGCCAGACTTCCATCTCTAGGGCTTTGTATGAGTCCAGAAGTCCAGCCCAGGCTGGAGGAGCCTGGGATCTGAGGCGGAACCCCAGCAGCTCCTGCCTGTGCTCCCTTGGATGCCCTCTTCTCTATTTCTGTCTCCATTTGAGGCTCTATTGTGGCCAGTTATTCTCACTGTGACTTATGAACCAGGAGCATCAACATTACCTAGGAGCTTGTTAGAAGTGCAGCTGCTTCAGCCAACAGTGAGGCTGACTGTTCATATGCTTGTGAGCTTTCATGCCCAATATCAGACACATAACCTACACAAGCACATATTTGAGCATTTGGCTGGGGCTCTGGGATTCCAATGGGCACAGGCAGCACCCAGATAGCATGGGCTCTTGGGAAATGGGGAAGGGTGGGGAAGAACTGTCCCCATCAGGTCTTTCTGAAGTTCTCTGACTATTCCCTGGGCAGTCAGAGCAGCTGTAGCTACCAAACTCAGATTCCCCAACTCCCGACTGGCTGTGTGTACAAGGGCTCTGGGGGATGTGCTCAGACCAGCAAAGCTCTTTCTTTGCATGAGTGGGCCAGGGCCAGGGGAATTTAGGGACTCAACAAACAAGACTTAGGCAAGAGCATACCACCCCCTGAACTATGTAAGCTTTCCAGAGTGTACAAGTCTCCTTGGCCCCTTCCTAAGGCTGCTCCCAATGTCCATTCACCTCCCAACCCCTGTCACTTTGTTCTGGCCAGTGGATCCCCAGGCGGCTGCCCCACTGGCCCCTCACCAGGCCTTGCAGCATCTCCCCCTGAGGTTCTGGATGTGGAACTGGGTCTCTGTGAGCGACAGGAGATGTGGGGAGGGGAGAGGGAGGCTGGGTTTTCTCATGCTCAGATCTGGTTTCGCTGCTGCTTCCCGTGGCTCATTGCCACTGGCTGAGCCACCAGCTGTGCTATATAAGGCTGGAGGCTGGACCGCTAGAGAAGCAAAGACTTGGACCCCCAGCTAAGGAGTCCTGCTCAGACACGGTGAGCTCCATTCCCTCTACCCACTCCCTGTACCCCGCTCTCCTCCCCACCTCTCTCTACCCTTATCCTCCGTTTTGCCACCTCACTCCTCTTTTGCCACAGAAAGATGCTCCTTTCTGCTTTGCAGATCTCCCACCTGAGCTCAGGGACCCTGGGAAGGGTATCTCAATTAGGGTCTCTGTACCTCTGAGTGCTTCTGCTTTTCCCCCTTGGTCAGCCCGTCTGCGAGTTCGGAGTGTGTGAGATGCAGAACCTAACTGTCATGAGGCAGAGACTGAGGAAACAATTAGGATGCTGAGAGAAACCTCTGTGAGCTGCCAGGTGGGAAATGGTTTTTCCACACCAAGCGCCTTGGGCTGCCTTGGCCTTCAGACGGCCTCTGAGCAGGCGGGCTGTTGAGCTCACACCGCTCAGCTCTCTGCTTGGAGTCAGCTGCTTGGCTTAAGATGTGCAATGGTTGGAGATTTTGGGGACCTTCCTGTGCCTCTCCCCTCTCATCTGAGAGGGTTTGGCACTAGAAGGTCAGCAATGTGGGGTTGGTTTGTTACTTTCTTGGGACCCAGGGGTCGCTGAAATCCAAGCGTGTCTGAAACTTTTTCCAGCAAGAGGGAACTTTAGAGTTAAAGAAACTATTTGGAAATCTCCAGGAACTGATCAGATTCTGGGTTTGCCCAAGCTCTGGGGAGAGAGAAGAATGTCCAGCTGAGTTAGAGCCTGGGCCACACCCCACGGTTCCTTGTCCTACTGCCAGGCCTGCTTTCCACTCTCCGCACCTGCACCCTCTAACTCAACTCCAAGCAGCTATTGGGGATCCCTGGCCTCTCACAACACTGCCTTTCTGCTTTCTCTCAGCTGTTGCTGGCTGTGTAACCTTCAGCCAAGTCCTAGACAAATAGGCAGAAATGTGTTCCAGCTGTAGCCCGGGTGCATCTGGAAATGCATTCACTGAGGTGTTGTGTGTGAGGTACCTGCCCTCCAGTTTGTCTGAGGGGGGCCAAGGAGTGGGGGCTGGGGCTGCTTGGTCTTAATATGTAGTGTGAGTCCCACTGAGAGGTAAAACAACAGCTTACCAAACCATGTCTTGGAACTAGTTAATGAGTCTCCTAAAGGCTCCTGGGAGTGAATTCTGGCGCCTCTTTCATTGGCAAGAAGTCACTGCACCTCTTTCTCTCCTCTCTCACATACTGCCTTGATGTGAGGTCCTGGAGCCTGGACCACCGAGGAGTCTGCCTCACTTGAACACATTCCACACCACTCAAACTGCCCATTTTTGCAATTCAGGTAGCTGTTAGGTTCCATAAGACTTTATTCTGTCTACCTTTCTGTCCCTGACAGTTTAATAAATATTTCCACTTGATAAGTAAGAGAATCAGGAATGAGGACCCTCATAAGCTTTTTTTCTTTGAAGGGTGCTGGATCTGAGAGACTTCTTGGGAGACCACAGTCCAGGGACAAGCTGATCCAGTGAAGCAGCCTCATCTGTCTCCTGCTGTGTCCCCCATAGGGCCTGGGGGAAAGATGCTGGGGACCAAGGCCTACATATTCTTTCTCCTGGTCCTGGAGGTCACCCCTGTGTTGGGTACAGGCTAAGTATCTGCTTTCCCTCAGGTCCCCATCTGCCACAGTGAAGTAACCCCTGGTCCAGGATCTGCCTAGTGTCATAGCCGTGGCTGGCTACCTGAGGCTGGTTTGCGAACTAAACCTTAATTTATGTTCGACTTGTTTCCCCAAAGGATTTGAGTAGTTCTCATGCAGAACAGAGATTTTTAAACGAGGAGAAGGATGAGCGATCATTTTGAGGAGGGAGAAAAGAGGGCCACTGCTCTGAATATTGAATTTGGGCGTGCGAGTCTAGGAAGCTAAAAGCAAATGAGACTCACAAAGTATTATTGTGGAGCAGGTTTAGTGTTTGGACAGTTTTTCATTTCAAGGAAAAGTCATCTGACCTAAATAAATTCTATTTCAATTAGCTAGAGACACAGGAATGAACCCTTTTTGATCAGCCATTCATAGAGAATATTTGAAAGCATTTCTGGTGGCCTAGTGGCAAGAAGGTGCGCTGCAGTCCCAAAGGTGCGTGGTTCAAATCCACCAAATGCTCCACTGGAGATTTTTTTTCTACTGGAGAGGGAAGGGCAATATCCTCCTGTGCCAGTTAGATCTGATTCAGTGTTACACACACACAAAATAGTAAAATAAAAAAATAATAAATTAAAAATCAAAGCAAAACAAAGGGGACATCTGGTCTCTCTGCCCTCTGACTTCATCTGAGAAACGCTTGCCATCAAGCCAGTCCTAATGCAGGGCAATCTCGTGTTTGACAGAGCAGCACTGTACTTGGAGGGCTTTCCATTACTGACTTTTTTTTTTTTAGAAGCAGATTGCTGGATCTTTTTTTCTTGTGGGTATCTGTGGTTGGACCTGAACATCCAACTTTGTGGTTAGCAGCTGCGGGTATTAGCCACTGCACTACCCAGGAGGCAGGAGGATTCTTGTTCTCAAGGGAACAAGTAGAGAGGATTTTCCTGGTGGAACAGATAACTCCCCTGGGCTCTAAGCACCAGAGCTCCTAGCTTTATCCTGCACATCCCCCCACGCTTCTTGTTCTCCTGATTTCTAACCAGATAGGTAAAGAAAGAAAAAAATTAAAAAGGATTTTTTCAAGACCCTCTTTTAAAACTGCGGGCAGGCTTTGTGAGCAGAGAGGCAAGAACAAAAGCTGTCTTCAGCGCCTTGGCAAACCCTGTGTGTGCCCTCCACCCGCTTTGATCTTTCCACCTCACCAGCTGCTGTTTGTGAAGATGATTAACATCCAGCCATCTGAGGGAAATCAGATTAGTTTGATCAAAAGAGCTATCACGCCAGGCCAGTCGAGCAGTGTAGAGAATTTGGAATGTGTGCTCTTTGTGAGTTAATTGCTTTTCAAAGCTTTTGCCACCCTCGATTCTCCTTTCTCCTTCCCTTTCCAGTCTAGCTTCAATTAGAAAGTGTTTAGAAGCTGCCTGTGCCCTGGTGGTGCAATGGATTAAGCATTGCTAACCCAGAGGCTGGAAGTTCAAATCCATCAGTGCTCCAAAGAACAAAGGTTAATTAGTCAGTTTCTGTAAAGATTTACAGCACAGAAAACTCTAAGGGACAGTTCTACAGGGTTACTGTGAGTCAGAATCGACCCAACAGCTATGGGTTTGGGGTTTTGTATCCTAAGGATGTGATGCAATTTTAGGCAGATCCTGTTAGTTCAGAGTTGGAACAGTGGGGGCCACTGCTCCACTTTGGCCACATGAGCTCTTTAGGAGGGGTTGGTGACCTCCCAAAGCCAAACTTTACTACGGGGAGAGAAATCCATATTTTGTGCCTGGCAGTGAGCTAAAAGGAGTTGCTAACAGTGCTTCAGCAAACATTGTGTGCTAGGCATTGTCCTAAGTGGATTTTATGAATGTGTTTATCTAATCCCCATAATCCTCTGAGGCAGGAGTTATTATTGCCCTTGTCTTCTGGTGAGGGAACAGGGAGTCAAGTGGGTTAAGTAGCTTCTCAAGGTCAAGCAGTGAAGAAAGAGCAGAGCTTCCGAAGCCCACCATCTCCAGCTCCATGGTATACTTTGGAGGTGCTTTCTTGGGTGACTTCATGGAAGCCTCATGCCCACAGAACCATCCTGTAATATTTCCATGTTGCCAAGGATAGGCACAGACCCCAACACAGGGGCCCTAGCCACTTACTGCTCAGCAGAATCCTACTACGCATTCCTAGAATGAGAGAAAACAGGAGACTGGTGTTTCAGGTACTCCAGGCCACACTTTACAGTCACCATCACTCTTGATATACACCATGAGCCATGATGTATGATTGTTAATACATCCATATTTTATGGGAAAACAGGTTCAGGGAAATAAAGCTTCTCTGCTCTTGCAAGATCTATAAATGTTAAGAGTGGGGAATTGAAGGCATGTCTAGTGCACATGCTCTGGTCACTGTTGCCCCACCCCCTGAGTCCTGCAAATCTGGTGGTAGGACCCTGCTGGACCCAGTATCGCACATGCTGACTGCTCACTCAGTTCTTCTCCTCCTGACCCCCAGGGAGGCAGACGATGCTCACTCAGTCAGTGAGAAGAGTCCAGCCTGGGAAGAGGACCCCCAACGCTCTTGCCAGGCCTGCTGACCCACTGGAGAGTGAGTGGTGGCTCAAGGAGGGAGGGGCTGGGAGGGTATCTTGACTGAATTGCTAAGAGAATGTCTGAAGCTAAGGAATAAGGTCATAGTTCCGTGACAACCCACTTGTACAAGGCATTGGGCTGTTCTGCCCAGGCAGAGTGACCTAGTATATGCAGGAGGGCTAAGATTGATGAAGCCACAGAATTCTATAGAGGTTGCTATGGCCACACTCCAGGCTGGTGGGGAGACAGGGGAGAGGTGAGGACTGTCAGTAGCAGGGCCCAGCTCACTAGCACCTTGAACGCCTAGCTAAGGGATTTTTCAAACTGGGAAGCAGTGTGCTCCAAGTCATATGGGCAAAATTCACTCTGGCTGCAAGGAGGCAGAAAGAAGAGGGTGTGGAGGGGGATCCTAGGATTAAAGCTACCAAGCAGGATGTTGCTGAATGGTACAGAGGGCTGCTGAGAGCTTGAATGACAACTTCGACTGCTGGGGTGCAGAGGAGCATGAGATCAGGGAGTTGTCAAGGAGAGACACTCCAGAGTCTAAGAGCGATGGGAGATGGTGAGAGAGATCAAGGATGACTCCCAGGTGTTGAGCAGGAAAAGGGAACTGTCACTCCACTGGGGCTGCAGGGCGTGGCTGCACCCCAAGCTGGCTCTTATTCCCTCTTAGGTCCTGGTGAGTGGACAACATGGTTTAACATTGACCACCCAGGTGGGCAGGGTGACTACGAGCGGCTGGATGCCATTCGCTTCTATTACGGGGACCGTGTGTGTGCCCGGCCCCTGTGGCTAGAGGCTCGGACCACCGACTGGATACCTGCCGGCAGCACAGGCCAGGTGGTCCATAGCAGCCCCCATGAGGGCTTCTGGTGCCTCAACAGGGAGCAGCGGTCCGGCCGGAACTGCTCCAACTATACTGTGCGCTTCCTCTGCCCACCAGGTGAGTCTTCTTACTTCTCACAAGCCGTGAAAGAGGCCTGGACCTACCTCCAGTCACTGGAACTCTGGATTTCACACATCAGCTCTCTAATTGTGTTGTTAGGTGCCATCAACTCATAGCAACCCTGTGAACAACAGATCTGAACCCTGACCTACCCTGTGCCATCCTCACAATCTCTGCCATACTCGAGCCCATTACTGCAGTCACTGTGTCAATCCCTCTAATTGAGAGTCTTCTTCTCTTTCACCAGCCCTCTACATTTCCTTCTCCAGGGAATAGCCTCTCCTCACAACATGTCTAAAGCATGTGAGACAAAGCTTTGCTATTTTTGCCTCCAAGGAGCACTCCGGCAGCACCTATTCCAGGACATATATCTGTTTGCTCTTTTTTACAGTTCATAGGATATTCCATACTATCCCTGTCCCCAAACATCATAGCTCAAAGGCATTCTTTTTTTCTGTCATCTTATTCATTGTCCAGCTCTCAGGCCATGAATCAGGTGCACCTTAGTCCTCAAATAACATCATTGCCCCTTAGTAATCTGGAGAGGTCCCTGACCGCAGACTTTCCCACAAATCTTGATAATAATAATAATCACCATAATAATAATCTGCATTTTTACAGAGGAGAAAGACAAGGCTCCATTTTGCCAAAAATAGGCCCAGACCCCAAAGCCAGTTCCTACTGCTCAGCAGCCGCCTACTGTGTATTTCTAGAGTGAGAGAAAACAGGAGACTAGCAATAAAATAATAACAATAAAGGATCCTGACAATAATATACTTTCTAATCATAACCCATTAATATCAAGAGAATCATAATCTTCCCAACAGCATCTGGGTTTTGGGGTCCCTTCCCTCTATTTCATCCAGGGCACACAGCATACTAGTTAACAGCAAGGGCTCTGGCTTTGAATCCTGAGTCTATCACATGAACTGTGTTCTTTCTCTAGGAAACATTTTCTGAAGGCCTGTGAGTCTTGGTTTTCTTACATATAGAATAGGAATAACGCTAGGTAATTTTCATAAGGCTTCTTAGGAGGATTAAATGAGATAATGGATAAAAACGGCTGAAGGATTAATCATTGAGCAGCCCACCAAGAGTGATTTGAACCTGCCAGTCACTCTGCAGAAGAAAGCTAAGACAATCGGCTTCCATACAGACTATCAGCCTTAGAAATTCTTTGGGGCAGCTCTTCTAGTCTGTCCTACAGACTCTGTCCCACCGGGTCATCATTATTCGGTCTACTCGACGGCAATGAGATCTGTCAGTTTTTTCCCCAATCCATGGTCAATATTCACTAAATGATCTTTTCTAGTACAGTTCCTGCTATGCTACATTATGAGGTTTGGAGAGGTCGGGGAACTTCTCCTGGTTACACCGATGATAAGTGGAGAGCTGTTTGTATTTGCTCTTCACTATGCTCTCCCCACACTATGCCCCACTCGACAGTATAGATGTTGAGGGGAGTCAGCTGCAGGCCTTCTCATTCTTGGACACACACCTTCTCTTCTCGTGGACTCTGGCAGTCCACACAGCCCGGTCCTGCAGGCCCAAGAGGGAGTGGTGGCCACTGGAGTGGGAGTTCAGGCTGGTCTCTTGGACTACATCTGAAATGCCATTCTTATTCATATATATCCCTCAAACCGGAGGTGAGAGCTGTGGGCAAACAACTGTTCAATGCCTAAGTTACTGTAGTCCCAAGGCCCAGCTTCTCAAAGGTACATGGGTGTTTCCACACTGATGATGAGGGAAGACAAGGCTATGCGCACATCCTAGGACAACATAGCAATCTCAGTGCTTGGCCAACAAGCCCCTCTCAGGGCCACCCTGAGCCCATATGGTGTCTGTGCTAGTTAAAAAGAAGCATCCCTTCAGGACTCTTGCTTTCCATCTGTTGGAAAAATAATTTGCAGTAAATGTAAATATTAGTGACATAAATGTGTAATGGTGTAAAAGGAGGCCCTGATCTCTCTTTACCAGAGAAGAGATAGCTTCACAATTAGATTTCCTGAAGGAGAGCTCCCTTGGGAGGGATGTCAGCCCATCTGCTGGTAACACTTTGCAGGGTCCCTGCGCCGGGATGCAGAACGCACCTGGAGCCCATGGTCTCCCTGGAGCAAGTGCTCAGCTGCCTGTGGTCACACCGGGGTGCAGACCCGTACGCGTACCTGCCTGGCAGAGACGGTGTCCCTGTGTAGTGAGGCCACTGAGGAAGGCCAGCTGTGCGTGGGCCAGGACTGTGCAGGTACCACCCTCACTCCTAGAACTGGCTGGGGCTTTGGTGAGCAGCATGAGTGCGTCTGAAGCAGATTAGGAAGAAGCGTTGGAAAGCCAGATGGACACAGATTCATTTATTCACCACAGGTTAACTGATGCTTTGATGGGGGTTGGGGGGGGGGCCGCAGTAAACAGTATGATGTGGGGCATAGAGCCAGGCCAATCACCACGGGAAGGCTTGGCGGGGTCAGGGTACATGTGTCCTGTGCTGATTCTTAGTGGATGGCTTGGAATTAGTTATGCAGGCTGATAACAGAGTGTAACAAAGGCCTAGGAGGAAGGGAAGTATATGGGGTCTGCCAGCTGGGATGTGGCTGAAGGAGAACCAGAATCCATGTAAGCCCTGCTGACGTGGCCCTGTCTCTCACAGCCTGTGACCTGACCTGCTCCATGGGCCAGGTGAACGCCGACTGTGATGCCTGCATGTGCGAGGACTTTGTGCTGCAAGGGGCCATCTCCCTCCCTGGGGGTGACCCAGCCTCAGGTGCCACTGTCTACCTGTTGACGAATACCCCAAAACAACTGACCCAGACAGACAGCAGGGGAAGGTTCCGCATCCCTGGCCTGTGCCCTGATGGCAAAAGCATCCTGAAGATCACAAAAGCCAAGTTTGCTCCCATCATTCTCACAATGCCTAAGACTAGCTCGAAGGCAGCCACCATCAATGCACAGTTCATGAGAGCAGGTATCTGACCTCCTCTTCTGCTATATACAGACTCTGAAGACCTGTTAGAAGGTCAGCTATGAGATGGTTCCAGGTTAGTGGCAATGAGGTTGAGAGGACTGGAAAAGAGGTTGAACATTTAAATAGAGGTTGTCACAGTGCTAAGTGTTGTACTGGTAAGAAGCTGCGCTGCAATCTCAAAGGCACGCAGTTCGAATTCACCAGCTGCTCCATGGGAGAAGGATGGGCAATCTCCTCCTGTAAGATTACCTGCCTCTGAAATCCCACTGGAGTGTCAGCTATGCGTCGGTCCTGACTTGACAGTAGACAACAACAGTGCTAAGAGCTGACTTCTCAGTGTACTCAGAGTAAAACCCAAAATTATTTCCATGGCTCTAACGATGCTATATCATCTGCTTCCCACCTGCCATTTCTCTGATCTCTTCTCCAAATATTGCTCCCCCATTCTCTGCCATCACAGATACATCACTCTGCTCCACTCACAATGGTCTCTTTTCTGTTCCTCACACACTCCTGCCTCAGGGCCTTTGCACTTGCTAGTTTCTCTGTATGGAGCATTCTTCCCCTAGATATCAACCTGACTTGTTTCCTCAAATGCAGGGAGTCCTCCTTCTCTGGTCATCTAATCCAAAACAAGTGCAATACAATGTTAGAGAGAAACTTGGGTAGTTTTGAAACTGTGCAGAATGGCCAGAAAATTCTGTTGGGAGAGCAGAACAAACATATTCTTTCAAACAATGGCAATGTGAGGGAGTCTTAGGCTGGCACGAGGTCCCTTGATCTCTCCACTGCCCAATCAGGTTCTGTTTCACAGGTACCAAATGGGAAGGATGGACTCCACTCCAGATGAGTCCCATGAAGTAGTATTAGGGCCACTTGAGAGAGTCTGATGATGGTCGAATCCACTAGCTGCTCTCAGATAGAAAAATAGCCAGTTTCCCTCCATTAAGATTTACAGCCTCAGAAACTTGATGGAGAATCACTACAAGCCAGAATCAACTCAATGGCAGGGAGGCTTGTGGGTTGTTTTAGTTTGGTAGTGAGTGTGATGATTGTGGTTGAGTATAGTTCAATCAGAACTAACCCATAGCTCACCCTCTGGTGGGTTTCCAGAACCAATAAATTACATGGGAAGAGATTGTCTTATCTTTCTGGTGGATTTAAACTGTGCACCTTTGGGATTGCAGGGTAGCTTCTTACCACTAAAGCATCAGACAGAAATTTACTAGAATTCCAAGAATCTGTCACAGAGGAAAAACTCTGATTTCTCATTAACCACTACAATCCCCCCTCCCAGAGACTCCATACATTGTGATGAATCCAGAGACGAAAGCGCGGAGGGCTGGGCAGAGCGTGGCCCTATGCTGTAAAGCCACGGGGAAGCCCAGCCCAGACAAGTATTTCTGGTGAGTGTTTTGCCAGCTGGGCTGCCAAGTCTCCTGTAGAAACCAGAGCTTTCTTCGGATGGATCTAGACATATTAATAGCAACAGTGACCAACAGAATGAAGTTAACAAACACGGGTCCAGAGCCCAGATGCTGAATGTAAAAGTAGAGGTCAGCAGGATTGAAGCTGCTTCAACAATCAGCAAATTCTGGTTGTCCTTTTGAGGGCAGGGCACCTACAGAACATCTCTGGTCTTAGGGTCCCAATTCACATATCCTGAGGACCCAGAATAAGGTTCCTCAGCCCTGACAGACAAACAAGGAGCGAATCCCCAATCACTATGCGTCCTTTCACCTTCACAAACATTTTACACCATTATCTTGTTTGACCCTCTCCCAAGCCCTGTCAATTCCACTAAGGAACATTGTTCCCATTTAATAGAGTGAGATACTGAAGCTCAGAAGGTGAGCTGATCTGTGCAATGATCCATAGCTATTTAAACGTCAGGACTGAGACTCAGAACCAGTCATTTGACTCCCAGGCCAGTCAGAGTTCTTGGGTGAGCTGAGTCAGAGGACCTATCTACCATTTGTCTCCTCCACTGTTTGTCCCTAGCCACTGCCCGCCAGAAATACTTGCCCTCCTAGTGCCCCCTCAAGCCTCACGTTTCCATCCTTTACAGGTACCACAATAACACGCTGCTGGATCCCTCCCTGTACAAGCACGACAGCAAGCTGGTGCTGAAGAACCTGCAGCAGGCCCAGGCTGGGGAGTACTTCTGCAAGGCCCAGAGTGATGCTGGGGCTGTGAAATCCAAGATCTCCCAGCTGATTGTCATAGGTAAGCTTGTCAGGGTGTCAGAGGGTCCTAGGTCTGCAGCAGGGATGGCTGAGCACCCCAGAGGTGCACCACAGTCTTTTCTGTGTTATGCATAGTGCTGTGCCATCTGCGATGCAAGATTTGTGCAGACCTGAGGTCTCTCCCCACCAAGCATCACTCACAGAGGGGTGAGGAGATAAAAACACTACAGCAAACTGCAGCTTACAAGGAAAAAGGAGCTGTGGATTCTTTAGAGGAGAGTCAGATAACTTACAGGTGGGAATGATCAAGTTGACTGCTTGACTCTATAATGAAGAAAAAAGAAATATTATATATAAAAAAAGATTGCTTGAGGGAGACACTTTCCCCCTGGGTTTTAACTGGGTACCCACTAGGATCACCTGCTGAGATTGAAAAGAATATCCATGTCTAGGTTTAACTCCAAAAGATCTGTATTTAATTTGTCTGGACATAAAGAGGCTTCTCAAGTTTCTCAGATTATTCTAATCTACAGCCAAGGTTGAGAAGCCCAGGTTTTAACTGGCAGGGGCTGTGTGGATAGAGAGGGAAGAATTCCAGATTGAGGGGCCAGAGTAAGCAAAGATATAAAAGTAAGGACTTTACAAGAAGGGGTGACCTGATGAGAGGTGGCTTCAAGCAATCTGTTGGAGCAGGAAAGACTCAAAACTGAAAGCAATTAGGAATCTTCACTTGAAGTGAGAAAAGTGAGAGCTAAGGGGTAGACTATTTTAGTAATCAGCATACATGAACCAAAAGGCAGAGGAAGGGAGATGAAAAGATCCTGAATTATTTCCGTTTTTAAGAAAATTGAGCAAAAGATCTCAGGATAGGTTTGATTTGGAGCAAGCTGGACCTCAACAAAGATGGGGAATGTTCTCAGTAGGGGTTCTCAACCCCTCAAAAGAATATTACTTTTAATATTTACTTAATACTGTCTTTATGATTTCATTCTTTTATTTACAATTTTTATTATATATAATCTAAATTATAACTTAAGTACATGTAATTTCCATTTATGTGTGTGTGTATACATATATACATATGAACAATCTCCTCTCATGTGATTTACTGCTTCTGAAAACTCTCTGGAGGGTCAGCTATGAGTTGCTTCTGACTCGATGGCACACAATAACATGTGTGTGTGTGTGTGTGTGTGTCTTTTTTAGTGGTAAGGAGTTGCTTTGCCAATCCAAAGGCACACAATTCAGATCCACCAGGGGGTCGGCAATCTCCTCCCACGTGATGTATTGCTTCCGAAAATCCACTGGAAGTCAGCTAGAACTCAGTTCTGACTCAATGGTACATAACAAATAGAAAAGAAAGGGAAAATAAAAAGGAAATTCTTTTTAATCCAAAATAGTATTTCAATATGTAAAAGTTTTGGCACAACAGCATGAGAAGCCAACAGATGTTAGATCTTTGCTCTTACATGTGACAGCTACAAATGCTGTCGTAAGTGCATAATCTTTCTGAGATGAGGGACAATTCTTTTTATTGTTCCCAGATGAAGAAAGTACAGTGCCAGCTCATTTTCCATGGTTGTTGCATTCTTGAAAAATGTAGTGCAGGTTAAAGCCTAAAGCAGTGGACAGACTATGCAAAAACTACTGGACTCCAAGTACTTTAAGTTTTCACTTACTTGAATGTCAATCAGGATACATGAAACTCATGCAAAATGCTTTCAGAACAATTCTATATGTAGGACAGTGCAGGGTCTGTATTCAATATAGACAGAGTCAACGACCCTGCTTGGTGATGATATTCCCTAAAAACCTCCGAAGCACGCATACCACCACCTGGTGATCTCAGCAATCAACTCCATTTTTCTGCCTATAAAAAAGAGGTTAGTAATGGCTGCCTCTCTCATAATAATAGTGTACTATGAGAATCAGGATTGTGGCTATGCAAGTGCTTTGAAAATCATAAAGCCCTGAAAAGAGATAGGACAGAAGCAAATTGTGTAGGATGTGAACTTATATCTAACAACCAGACCATTTCCTTCCACAGCCGCTGATGAGACTCCTTGTAACCCAATTCCGGAAAGTTACCTTATCCGGCTGCCCCATGACTGCTTCCAGAATGCCACCAACTCCTTCTATTACGACGTGGGCCGCTGCCCCGTGAAGACCTGCGCGGGACAGCAGGATAATGGGATCAGGTGCCGGGATGCTGTGGAGAACTGCTGTGGCATCTCAAAGACAGAGGAGAGGGAGATCCAATGCACTGGGTACACACTGCCCACCAAGGTGGCCAAGGAGTGCAGCTGTCAGCGCTGCACCGAGACCCGGAGTATTGTCCGGGGCCGAGTTAGTGCTGCTGACAATGGGGAGCCCATGCGCTTTGGCCACGTCTACATGGGGGGCAACCGTGTGAGCATGACTGGCTATAAAGGCACTTTCACCCTCCATGTCCCCCAGGACACTGAGAGGCTGGTGCTTACGTTTGTGGACAGGCTGCAGAAGTTTGTCAACACCACCAAAGTGCTGCCCTTCAACAAGAAGGGGAGCGCCATATTCCATGAGATCAAGATGCTTCGGAGGAAAGAGCCCATCACCCTGGAAGCCCTGGAGACCAACATAATCCCTCTGGGGGAGGTGATTGGTGAAGACCCTGTGGCTGAGCTAGAGATTCCATATAAGAGTTTCTACAGGCAGAATGGGGAGCCCTACACAGGAAAAGTGAAGGCCAGCGTGACCTTCCTGGATCCCCGGAATATTTCCACAGCCACAGCTGCCCAGAGTGACCTGAACTTCATTAATGATGAAGGTGACACCTTACCCCTGCGGACATACGGCATGTTCTCCGTGGACTTCAGAGATGAGGCTACGTCAGAGTCACTCAGTGTTGGCAAGGTGAAGGTCCACCTTGACTCAACCCAGGTCAAGATGCCAGAGCACATGCCAATGATGAAACTCTGGTCACTCAACCCAGACACCGGCCTGTGGGAGGAGGAAGGTGACTTCAAATTTGAAAGCCAAAGACGGAGAAAGAGGGAAGAGCGGACCTTCCTGGTGGGCAACATGGAGATCCGCGAGAGGAGGCTCTTTAACCTGGATGTTCCTGAAAGCAGGAGGTGCTTTATCAAGGTGAGGGCCTACCGCAGTGAAAGGTTCTTGCCCAGTGAGCAGATCCAGGGGGTCGTGGTCTCTGTGATCAACTTGGAGCCCAGGACTGGCTTCTCCTCGAACCCCAGAGCCTGGGGCCGTTTTGACAGTGTCATCACAGGCCCCAATGGAGCCTGTCTGCCTGCCTTCTGCGATGATCAGTCCCCTGATGCCTATTCCGCCTATGTTTTGGCAAGTCTGGCTGGGGAGGAAATGGAAGCCGTGGAATCTTCTCCGAAATTCAACCCAAATGCAATTGGTGTCCCTCAGCCCTACCTCAGCAAGCTCAAGTACAGGCGGACAGACCATGAGGACCCACGGATTAAGAAGACAGCTTTCCAGATCAGCATGGCCAAACCGAGACCCAACTCAGCTGAAGAGACCAACGGACCCATCTATGCCTTTGAAAACCTCCGGGCGTGTGAGGAGGCCCCGCCCAGTGCGGCTCACTTCCGTTTCTACCAGATTGAGGGGGATCGGTATGACTATAACACAGTCCCCTTCAATGAAGATGACCCCATGAGCTGGACGGAAGACTACCTGACGTGGTGGCCCAAGCCAATGGAATTCAGGGCCTGCTACATCAAGGTGAAGATTGTGGGGCCCCTGGAGGTGAATGTGCGGTCCCGCAATATGGGGGGCACCCACCGGCAGACGGTGGGGAAGCTGTATGGCATCCGGGATGTGAAGAGCACACGGGACAGGGATCAGCCCAATGTCTCATCTGCCTGTCTGGAGTTCAAATGCAGCGGGATGCTCTATGACCAGGACCGCGTGGACCGCACCCTGGTGAAGGTTATTCCCCAGGGCAGCTGCCAGCGAGCTAGCGTGAACTCCATGCTGCATGAGTACTTGGTCAACCACTTGCCACTGGCAGTCAACAATGATACCAGCGAGTATACCATGCTGGCGCCCCTGGACCCCCTGGGTCACAACTATGGCATCTACACGGTCACTGACCAGGACCCTCGCACAGCAAAAGAGATCGCGCTTGGCCGGTGTTTCGATGGAACATCCGATGGGTCCTCCAGAATCATGAAAAGCAACGTGGGTGTGGCCCTCACCTTTAACTGTGTGGAGAGACAGGTGGTCCGCCAGAGCGCCTTCCAGTACCTCCAAAGTTCCCCAGCCCGGCCGTCGGCTGCAGGCGCTATCCGAGGAAGCTTTGCCTCCAGGAGGCAGCAGAGGGCAAGCAGGGCGAGCCTGCGTCGGCGAGGGGCGGCCTCTCAGAGGCCTGGTGGGGTTGCTCAACAGCCACTTAGCAACTAAATCTCCTGGTGCTCCGACCTCTTTTCCTCTCACCTCACGTGACAGCCATTGTGAGATTGACGCACAAACTGTCACTCGGTTAATTTAAGCACATCTGTTCTGGTGCAATTTGCTTGTTTGTTTCTACATGCCTTTACTTACTGTCTTTATCCCATGATACCAATTGGCACGTAATCGTCCCAAAAGGCAACATAAAACTCCTCTGTCTTGTTCTTTTAAAGCACATGAAATTGGCAGCTGGTAAAACTCTGTGCCTCTGCCCTTTCTTCATAGAGGGCGAACAAAGAACATGTACTTCCTTTTCTTTTTACATGGTTTTGTCCACCTGTCCTGCAATATAAAACCAGATTTTTGAAGTTGAAATAACCAATGCAAAGCATATTTCTTAGTCTTGCTTCTCAGGATGTAAGTGGGCACTCTGTCACAGTTCATATGTATAAACGGTGGGGAGATAAAGGAATAAACAATAATATTTTTACTTGAATTGTAAATAACTTATTTATTTCTTTGCTGAATTTGGAACTATAGAGGACATCCATTGTTAAGCTATTGAATATAGGGTGATCATTGTTCCTCTAGCAAGTATGGAAACAGTGTCTCCTCATGTTCACAACTGCAGTAAGTTGCCGATTGTATTAACATATGTCTCTTATACCTGCTTTTGTTCTTGCTAGAAGCCTTGTGTAGCCCAGGGCAGATAACAATAAATGCATATTTTGTACTTTGATACTGAGGCTGCTGTCCCGTCTTTTATCCCTTAAAACCAACCTCTCAGACGGACAAGGGAGATCCTGGGAAGCCATCACAAAGAGGTGTGAGGCCTGTTTTTCCTAAACTATGGGGCTGGGTAACTAGATGCCCACCATACACGTCAGGAGTCAAGTTCATGCTAATGGATCATATTTTCCATTCACAGGCAGAGATTCCTGGAGTTGTGAGCATGTTCTGGGCTCCTGTGCAAGACTTAAAACATGTTCTCAGAGTCTTTCTTTTTTCCAACACTGGGGGAGCTTATTTGTGCAAGGGCTTGGCCCCAGGTCTCACAAGCTGGCCAAGTGGTCCTCCAGCTCCCCCATGGCCTGCTGCCTTCTCCAGCTGGGCTGGCTGACCTCACTCAGAAATCATGGGCTTTTCCTCCTTCCTCCAAGTTTTTCTAAAGATGCCCAGCTTTTTCAGACACCAGATCTCTGTTGTAACAGCCCCAATTCCTTAGAGTAATATAGTTTATCCAAATGGATAAGGCTTGGAGGAAAAAGCTTTTGGTTTAAAATGGCAAAGGTCAGTGCATGGTGCCCGAATGATCTTAGAGGAGTCAATATTTGGGGTGATGGGGTGTGAGGTGGGTAAGAAGCACTGACTGCCCTTCCTTCAACCTTTCCAGAATCTGTCAGGAAAGGAGCCAAGAGGATTGGGGGAGAGGTTTACAATCAGGACAGAAAGCTTTTCCTAATCCCCTGTTTGGCCCAGCTCAGCTCCTTTTGGCTACTCCTGGGCTGGGCTGGATGTGTGTGCTCTTGGCTCAGCCATCTGTCCAGCTCCTGAGGGTTCAGTTCATAATCAATTAGAAATTTCTCTGGCTAAGCAACCCAGCCCAACCCCATGACCTCTGAGAAAGGAAGCACATGCAGGGCTGAGGCCTAGTCACCTTGTGACTGCTTTGACCCATTTCCAGTTTTCCTTCTGTCCCAGGGCTCCCAGGGGGAAGCTTTATCGACTGCCTGCTGGTAGAATTTGGCTGCCTCTGTCACAATTCCCTCAGCTACTTCAGGAAACAGAGCTCATGCGGTTTCAGCCTGACCACCCTGCACAGTTCTCTTCAAACTCACAGAGAGGCAGCTCTGGGTAGCAGGAACTGGTTGGGCATTCAGCCCAGTTCTACTTTCCATTGAAGGCATGAATAAAAGACTCCAGCAGGCAGTGGCTCACACGTGGCTCTTTTCTTCATTCACCAGACATTTACTGAGTGCCTGCTCTATGTCAGGTCATATGCACAAATAAACCCTTATCACATAGTGTAAAGTGGCATCGGGTTTAAGGGAGTGGTGGTCAGAGGAGGTGGCATCACATTTGAGGTCTGAATGATACTAGCTCGCTGACAGTCTGGTTGGCAAGAGCAGAAACAGCCATGTAAAGTTGGATGGTGGAGGCTGGGAAGCCATGGTAGAGGTCTTTTTTTTCCATAGAAGGAAACTGCTCAATCTAGTTCACAACACATCCTAATTCTTCAGCTCCTTGCCTCCAAAGGCAGCTCCATTCCCTGCAAACTGTGTAACTGTATTCAAGTCTCTTTTCCCTAAGTCTCCATTTCTTCATGGAGGAATGGGCCTAAGTAGGGCAGTTCTGGTGGCCGAGTCTGTTGGGTGTTGCACTGTTGACTCAAAGGTTCGAATCTCTGGTGGAGGTTTAAATCCACTAACTGCTCCCAGATAATTTTGTAAGATGTTTTTCTTTTGAAGATATTTGTTTAGACTAACAGCACAGTTCTCAGGGTGCCTTAGGTTCACCAAAACACTGACGAATCACTGGGTGTTCCCTTCTCCTGTGGAGCATGTGGATCCTGGAGGGACAAAACATCCCTTTCCCAAGAGTGCTCGGCTTTCCATCTCTGCTTGTTATACATGGGCTGATCGCAACCTCCCAGCTATAAAACATGAACTGTGTGAGGACAGACACCAGAAAGAAAGCAGGGAGAAAGGGCACAGAGAGAGAGGACAGAGGGGTTCTATCAGGCTGCTTTCACTTCCAACCGGAGGAGTTTTCCAGACAGAATGTTCTTTACAGGTTTGGAGAGTTTTAGTAGGTGAGGTGAGAGAAAAAAATGTCATCACGTCAAGGACAAGAATAGTCTTGAAGGATTGAGATGATTCTGACAAGCAAAACCGGAGACAGGGTGGAGTTCCAGACAACAGGAATGGCCAGGGCCAAGGAGCAAAGACGAGGCTGGCTGCACATGGGAAGTCATTATTCTGATGATGAGTAATGGAGACATCCTCAGACCTTAGGAAGGACTTGAACCAGGAATTGCAAAGCCACTGGAATCCAGACCAGTACTCCCCCAATTCCCCATGAGTCCCTGTTTGATCACTCCCTTATACCTTGCTTCAAGACAAGGTACAATTTTTACCTTACAATTGGTCAATTTTTATAATTTTCAGGTATGATTGAAAAAGTTGTGTATTCTTTAGTCATTAGGCGCAGGAAATCTATAGCTATTAAATCTGGATTATTAGTTATGTTGTTCAATAAATAAGGAGCATGCTGGATGCTTCCCCTAGATAGTGAATCTGTCCATGTTTACCTGTGATTTTTTTTTACCTGTGATTTTTTAATTGGGCTTTATATATGTTGGGGAGCTCTGGTGACCTGGTGATAAGAAGCTGTGCTGCAGGCCTGAAAACACACAGTTCGAATTCACCAGCTGCTCCATGGAAGGATGGCCAAATAGAAAATCTTCATATCTTCTCATGAGTTAAGTATGTTATCATTATGGTTTTTGTTCCCAATGGGTTTTTAAAAAATAAGTCTGTTTTATTTTATACCTCCCTTAGGTCCTTATGTTTGAAAAGAGTTTTGCCAACTCCACTAGGTCAATAGTTAATTTTCTTGTTTCCATTAATGCTGTTGAGATACTGTTGTCAGTCTATTTGTCGTTTCTCTATAAGTGAACTTTGTTTTCCTGACAGTTTTTTTTTTTTTTTAATGTGTGTACCGTCAAATCGGATCTGACTGGTACAGGATGAGATTGTCCCTCCTTCTTCAGCAGAGCATCTGGTGGTTTCGAACCGTGCACCTTTGGGATTGCAGTTCAGCTTCTTGCCACTAGGCTACCAGAGCTCGCCTTCCTGACAGTTTTTAAGACCAAAATGTCTTTGGTTCTGAAAATCAGTTATAGTTAGGCATTTACTTCTTTTTTCTTTATCCTGATTTGTAAATAAACATTGTAGACTTCTGTATTATGGTTTCACATATTACAGATTGACACAAACACTATGTCTTTCATCAGTTCTGGAAAATTCTTAGTTATTACCTCTTCAAATATTATCTCATTTCCAATGTCTTCTATGACTCTTATCATTTCACTTCCCCCATCTCTTTGTCTCTCTGCTGCATTTCGGATAACTTCGTTGCTGTCCCGTGAAAACCAACTCATAGTTGACCCTCCAGCAGGTTTTCAGAGACTATAAATTTCATGGTCGGAGATTGCCCATCTTTTCCCCTTGGAGCAACTGGTGGATTGGTAAGTTCCAACCCAGAATTCTCTGTCTTCTTATTCACCAGTTTTATTTTCAGCTCGCTGAAAAATGATTCATTTAATTCATTTTGTTGTTATGTGCCTACAACTCATAGTGATCCTGTGTACAGCTCTGAAGCCTTCCCTATCCTGAGCCAATATCACTGTCTCAAACACAACTACCCCTATTACCCCAGTAACTGAGTCAATACATTTCATCATCTGGGGTCTTCCTTACCTGCGCTAACCCTTCACCCTTCCATGAACGATGTCCTTTTCTCCAAGGACTGGTCTATCCTGGCAACATGCCCAAAGTATGTGAGACAGAGCTTCAAATTCTTCCCTCAAAGGAGCAGCTTGGTTTCACTCTCTTCAGGACAGACTTGCTCTCTTGGCAATCCATACTTTACCAATGATATCTTTCATTTTTATAAGGCTTTTTTCCCTCCAAACTTTTAGTTACTTTTAATAGTTCCAAAATTCCTGCTCGTTAAAAAAAAAAAAAACCACACAAAACCAAACACCTGGTTTATTTTTCTTTCCATTTTTGATTATTTGAAACACTTAAAAATATTTTTATCCTAGTCACTAATTTAAGAGTTTATGTGCCTGTTCTTGAAGAATGTTCTTACTTTATATGAGTCCAACAATGTAATTTAAAAATACGCTTCTCTCAGGAGCTAAGAATGAGTCCTAAAAAAAAAAAAAAGAGTGAGTCCTGTAGAGAATAGTAAAAATAAAAACCAGCAACCTTCAAACTCAAAGCCAT